TTAGTCTGTCTTGTCTGTCTGTGTGTGTGTGTGTGTGAGTGAGTGTCTGTCTGTTTGTGAGTGTGTGTGAGTCTGTGTGTGTGTGTGTCTGTGTGTGAGGTGTCTGTCTGTCTGTCTGTCTGTCTGTGTGTGTGTGTGTGTGTGGCTGTGAGTCTGTTTGTGTGTCTGTGTGAGCTGCTGGCTCAGTGATCTGCTCTGTTTCCACAGGGAGATCCTCATACTTCTAAGAGGGGTTGTGCGATCATGTGATCAGAGCTGCCAGCTGAACCACCTTCCTGTGTGGCCCATTTTTTGAGTGAATCTTTTTTTTAAATTATGCTTTTTAGTCTTTTTCACTTCAGTTTGTTTCGGATTTTGTGAAACGTTTATCCGCTTAAATTGAATGAACCAAATGTTTTTCTTTTTGTTTGCAACAGTGAGGACTCTTTTCTAGACTCGTCCACGTCAGATTCTGTGACCAACCTTTTTTTTTTTTTTAATCATGTTCATATTAATTTTATAAGATGGCATTTTATGTTTCTTTTATAGACCGATTTATAATGGCTCATAGTTTTTAGTGAGATTATTACAGACAGTAGACATTTGCATGCTAGTTTGAATATGGAAGTGTCATTGTATTTAAAGCAGCTGTTCAGAAGTAGTTCACTACATGATGACGCATCTCTTCTGCAGACAGACCTCACTCATCCTCAGAGCTCAGGAACATGTAGCACAGGTCTGATTTTATCCTGCAGAGCTGGACCATGAGTGCTTTCTGTCTATTCCTGCTGAAGAGATGCAGCATTGGGTCTCTCTTCGACTGTATGTCTGCGTGAGGCCGTGTGATCAATGAAAACACTGCCGTTAAACCTCAAGATTCAGTACTGTATGTTTTTTTACAGATCAGCTTGTCAGAGCTGAAGTGTTATTTTGTACTGCTTTTGTCTGCACTATCTAACAAACACTAGCCTTACACATACACTTTGTTGATTTTTAACCTTTTAATTTAAGAAATGCATGCTTTATTTTGCTGCAGCCTTTATACTTCAAATGATCGAATAAAGTGTTGAATGTATTTTCAGGGTTTTCTCTTTCATTACTCTTGGTCGCTAATGTGCACGTCTGATTTGTGAACATGAGGAGAGGTTTTAGAAAAGCCCTCTCAGCAGCTTCTGTCTTATTTCTGGTCATGAAAGCACGACTCCTGCTTGAAAGAGGAATGAACAAAGTGTTGGATGAGCTTGATTCAGTATCTGATGACGATGCTGTCATGTAGTTTGCTGCTTCAGCTGACATCTGCCTTTTTACAGTTCTCTTTGTCCAGCTAATGCTTTCTGGAGCAGAAGAGCTGCTTGAGCGGTGTATAAAACACACAGTATTGAATTAAAAGCACTAAAACACATTTTTTTGAGATGTTAACATATGTACAGGTTGCACATCAGTAAAAACAATAATAGCACTAATTATATCTATTATTAAGGGAGAAGTGGTTATTCATTTTTTGGAGTCATTTTGTTCTTGTTCAAAAGTTGAACCAACAGTGATGTGTATGTGTTCATTTGGAGTGGTGATTGGCTGCTGTCTTAATAACAACATCAGTTATGTGGCTGACTACATTAACACCATAATATACAGTAAAAACTGTTTCGTTCCTAATTCAGAGACAAATATTTCTGTAGCAATCATTGGCCACTGGCTTATTGATGTGGAGAATGCACTGCAGTCATAACACAAAAAAATGAATTTTAGAAAAATACTTTATATTAGAAATCTTTCTATTAATTAAATGCGGGTAACTACAAGCGCTAGAGGTTTACATCACGCAGTTGAGCATTATGTGATTCATTCACAACAACACTGAAGGAAACATCTGCCTTCATCTCCCAAATGTATTATTTTATCTTGCATCGCATAATGAAATGGGTCGAGCTCAGTGCTGATTGTTTTCTGTGAGCTAGATGAGTGCAAAGGATTGTGGGTGATTGGACGCTTGATGCTTCCTTCAGAATGATGCGACTGAAGGTGATGACGCAGAGAGAGCAGGATCGGGTGCAGCTGGCGCTTCTCCAGACGTTACTGAGCCTCCTCCAGACGCCGCTCCAGGAGCGCTGCGTTCACACGATGCTGCATCAGAAACTGTCCGTTCAGGTGAAAGACCGGGATGTGCTGATGATATCTGTCAAACCAGACTCTGTTCTCCGGCCGAGTGATGTCCACCTCCTGCAGCTCAAACTGACACACACACACACACACCTGATCAAACCTGCAGCTCAAACTGACACACACACACACACACCTGATCAAACCTGCAGCTCAAACTGACACACACACAGAGCTGAGGAGTGTGAGCAGATCTTACTCTGTGTCTGTAGGGCTCCAGCGCTGCTTTGGCTTCATCACACAGAGGACACAGCTCCTGGAACACAGACACTGCACTCCATCATTCCAGCAGGCTTTATGATGCATTACTTCCCTGGTGTTAACAGCACTCTGGATGCTACAGAGACTGCATTTATCAGTC